TGACAGCAATTATGAAAGCTAGGATAGCCGTGTCGAGGACATCTTCGAATTTGATCAACTTTCAGCAAACAATGCTAGAATTAATCAAGTAGATCCAATCAAAGAAGAAGAAAGTGAACGGAAACCTAGTTGACAATAAATACTGTGAAAATTTAATCAACAGACTTCAAGCTTCCCACCACAATTTCGAGAATCAATAATGTCATCAGATGACAAAAAATGCACATAAGATGCAATCACTGACAAAACATATGCAATCTTTGAGCTGCTTCGAGCGATTCGAAGAAAAAGTTGTGCAAATGTTAAAAGTCAATTGCAGTCAATTGCTGGCAATAATCGTAAGTAATGAACAGTTCTGGTTCTAAGAGTAATAGTAATACTCAATTTTTTGAAACATCCACAGCCAATAACGACAATATTTTATAAAACAAAAAGTGATGACAAGATTCCATGTTATGTAACGCCGTCAAGTGGATACGTAATTTTTCCACAGATCATGAAGCTGTATGCATAAGTATGGTATAAACGGATAAGAAGGCATTCGCTGATACGTGATGTGATATGTTTGAAAGTCAACTAGGACTTGAGTCAGCAATTAAGGTAATTTTTTTTCAGCTTTGAATTAATATTTGTGTACACAAAAAGAAAAAATGCCCCACCGTCCTGCCCATTTTTTTTTTGGGCCCTTAGAGTGCTAATATTTTGGACAGAAAAATGAAAATTTAAAATATGATTAATTTATCATATTTTCAAATTTGATTCATTTTAGGAGAATTTGATGAAACTGACAATAATCAAGAAGAAGCTGGAGATTATGACAACGAAACGGAAAAGAAGAGCAAGGAATCGGAGCTACGATATCGAACACTATAGATCATGGATTCATCGCTGCAACAAGTTCAAAATAGTCGAAAACATAAACGTTGCTTAAAATGGCTTTGACGAAGATGTGGAACAAAGGACAATTAAACGTTACACTTCAGCATCACAGTCATCAGATGGGTAGAACCTCTCACCACAATATCCAGAATAAATGATTCAATTTCAAGAAATGAATCAAACAATAATAAGTTACAAAATCAAATCGAACAGCTTGAAAAATATATAAAGAAGCGGCATACAATTCACGAGAAATCTCGAGCAGAAAAACATGTAGAAATCGTTGAACTGGAAAGCCAATTAAGACAGCAGCTAGAAAAAATTTAACCTGAAAAGAAAACAGCAAAAGAAGATTTACAGTAAGCAAATGATCAGATCGTCAATTTCCAATACATTCATGTTCCACAAAAGGATCACATGCGAATATGATGAAAACGTTGTGGAAGAGAATCAAATTAACATAATGGAAGTAGAATCAATTGAGCAGAGAAATATTCAGCAAAATTTTGAACAAGTACAAAATGGAGCAGATCTATTTGAGAGTAATGAAGGTAAAACTTTTAGGCTGATTAATTGAAATTTGTGAGGTGTATAAACTTCATCATTGTTTAACTGCAAAGTATAATATCAGCTTCAATTAATTGGCATTACTTATGTGTTTATCGCTTCAAAGATTGAAGAAATTTATTCTTTGAACTTCATGAATTTGCATACATCCCAGACGAAGCATATTCGGAAAAAGACATTTTACAACAAAAGATGTCAGTTTTACAAGCGCAAAATTGATGCATAACGCTCCTTAAAATATGAAATATGTGAGCATATATATGCAGGTGAATGCATCGACAACTGAAACTGAAGTGGCTTTAAAAGAACTAAAGGCATCAATACTTCTAAGTTCATCAAAATATGGCAGTTCGTCTAATTATCCACAATTTCTAATACTGACTTTGCGAAGATGGCACAGATGATTGATTGTTTGCATTGCCAACTTTTTATATTCAGTAATTGCAGGAGCTGCAGTAAGTCATTTATTTGATAAAATATACTTAAAAATAGGCTAATAAATCCTTAATAAAGATTCATGATTCAAGATTCAAACACATTCCAAGGAGCATCTGAAGAACCTGATAGCAATCAAGAAGAAGCTGGAGAATTCTACAACGAACTGCAGGAGGAGAGCAAGGAAACTGATAGATCTGATGGATTGGATTTTGTTTTTAAGTCGTGATGTGAATATATTTAAAAGTCAACCAAGACTGCAACCATGATATAAGGTAAAATATTTTGATAAGCTTAAATAGATTTTTAAAGAACAAAAAAGGAGAAAACGCCCCACCGTCCTGTCAATTTTTTTTTGGGGCCCTTCGAGTGTTCTTTATAGGTTGAACCAACAACAATTAATTATCTTTAAATGCATTAGGTATTAATAATATTAAATTTTCAGTCAGAATCAGTCTATATATATTTTTTTCGTTTGAATTTTCAAACTGGATGTTTAAATTCTATAAATCAAGTAATTTTTTTACCATTTGTGTAGAATTTTTGACATGAAAAGTGTTATTTTGTTAACAGTATGTAGATTATATCTATACTATCTACATGTCATAGAATCTATCTATATGTAGACATAATCTATACAAAGAATTTTTCTACATGTAGATTACTTTTTCTATCTATGAAGACAAAATATATGAAAGATTTTGTTTTTTTATTTACATGTAGAATTGATCTATACAAAGCCAAATCTGTGTCAGAATTTGTCTGAGCCAGACAACTTGCCAGAATGCAACACTGATTTAAAGGCAAGCAATTTCACAGGGGTGGGGATCTAAATCTATATCAAATTATGATAAAAAATGAAAATACACGATGTAAGCTTAACAAGCCTCAAATTTCACATCTTATATTCTTAGTTTATCGTCAAGACCTAGTTTTGTTTGGTAACATTTTTCGATTGTGTACGTCTTTGAAATATTTTTTGACATGAAAATCCATTTTGTGGATATAAATCATAAGCAGCATTCAAGACTATTATTTTCATCTCCTTTCTCTTCATTATTTAAGTCGAATGATATTCCCACTAGTGCTATTTTTAGAAATCTTGTGAGACGAGAAATGTTATTTATGTAGCTACATCGATGTATACACATAAAGTTCATGTAAAGCAATTCGTAACTCAATTTAGTGTTAAGTAGAACTGAAAGCACAAAATTGACTTTGGACGAGACTTTAATCGACTTTCTTTAATAAGGAGAAAGTTTTCTTTTCTCGTCTCTACGAAATTTTACTTCTAAAAGCAGTTTTATTGAGAGAAGGAAGGACGTTGATAGGATCACTTTGTCATGTTAAATTATCAAGCATAGACAAAGTTTTTTCACACATGTTGACAGTTGGAATCAGGTCAAAGTTTTTATGTCGTTGCTGATTTGATTTATGATGGGTTGCTTATAAATGATGACAACTAAAAAGTTTGCTTCTTTCAGACTCTTAATGCTAGGAATCCAAAGTTGCTTTAGATTGCTTAAAATGCAATAAAAAGGAAATTTATAGACATAGATTTGGATCTATACTTTCTTCCATATCCTGGTTTATTACTAATCCTTTTCTGCATCATGAACGTCATTGGTGAATTATCAATACTTAAAAATGTTCCAAATAATTCTTACAAACTCAATAATTTCTCAATAAGTCAAAAACACGACAACTTATATTCTTAATGCGCCATTAAAATCCTTTTCGATGTCACGAGAAATTGTCTTTACTAATTTAATTCTTCTTTTCACTCCTCCAACCATTTCCTCGCGATATCTCTAGTTATGATTCATTACGCGAAAGTAATTTGAGGAACAAGCAAAAGTCCTTATTAAGACGCACAAAAAGACAATAAAAAAAAACACAAAAACTTTCTTATGAAACCGAAATCTTTAGGATCTCTCATGAATGGAATGAAGTTATGAAGGAAGATGAAGGAAAAGTGAGAAAAAGAAAAAGAAATGAACTTGAGAAAGCTTAAAACTTTTTTTTGTTGGAATGTTTAATGCTTTGCTGTGTTGAGTTTCCCAATGCTGAATGATTCAATGTTTCACTCTCTTTAAGCTTACTCTCTCTTCAGAGCTTCAATTCTCTCAATATAGCTCCTGCATGTATGCAAATGCATAATTACTATGAACGTTAAGTTGTTTTGACATCAACTTTCGTGCATGTTTTGAAATAAAGCATATGGAATGAGTTCAATTAAAGGATAATGAGCTTATTCCATGGAATTTATAAGTGTTGAGTGCTAAAGCTGCTTATACTTTTTCAATTGCTGTTTATGCTGTTTGTTTTAATAAAGTGCAACAAGTTTCAATTAGTTTGCTTGTTTACGCGCAGTAATTCTTTATTATTAATTCCAAGGATGTAGCTGGGTGCTGCTTTCTCAGTATATTCATATACCTACTCCTCTTCATACCCATTAAGTTATATATTATATTTTATGGCTTAGTACTGTGACTTCCTTTTTACTAAGCTTACTTGATACTTGATTGGCTGATTATCTCAGCTAATTCTGCCTTACTACCGCATAAATCAAAATATAATCTCAACTTGCTTGGCAGCCTGAAAATCAATATCCATCTAAGGGGCCATTCACTTATTACGTAACGCTTTTAGGGGGAGGGGGGGGTCTAAGATTTTGTTACGGTTCAAACAAGGAAATTTCTTTTTTTCATACAAATTTTGTTACGAGGGGGGGGGGGGGTCTAAGAAGTCATTTTTTCGCGTTACGTAATAAGTGAACAGCCCCTAAAGGAATATGTGACTTTTATTCAGATTAAAAATGATGAGTCTGTCTACTCCACAGTTTTCAGATTCTAAAGAATTAAACATATCTGCCACCAAGCACACACGTTTTAATTTACGCATGCATGTTTTTCCTTTGTCAACATTAGAATCAAGAAAAAAAAATTAAGCTTCAATTTTCCTCGTGAGATGTTTCGTAATTTCTACAGCACACAACAAATTAGATGCTTAAAAAATTCCTAGAGTGTAAATAACATTTAAAGAGCTTTTACGGTTTTTGCTAACGAGCATTAAGCTTAGAGCTTTCTTAAAAAAAATTTATAACTCAATAAAAGAATCTGAGCACAGACATTTACCTTAAGTTAATACTTCACGAAAGAACAAATATTATCTTTTCAACATTCCAAATTGACAAGCAACAGGTGCGATAAGCTTTCCTTTCTGTAGATTACATCATTTGATGTACATAGGAACGATGTTACTTCATCGAAATATTTTCGAAGTCGACGATGATTCATTTTCATGTTGTATCCAAGTTGTATCATAATAAAGCAGACATATGAGAAGTCTGTCAATCTGATATGATGACAACGTGAGATAAGAGCCTGGAAACTTTTACGGAACCTTGAAATGTTATGATTCAGCCATGAAAAAGGGCAAAGAAGAAGTTTGACTTATCAAATTTCTTTATTTTTTGTTTTATTAAATTTTAGATACAAGTTCCGCTTCCTTTATGGATTCAATCAAAACTTTTGCAACTTTTTCAGCAACTTCGTTCGTTGCATTGATTCCCATTAGTCCAATTCTAAAAGATAATTTATTTTCAATTAGGGGGTTGTTCATAAATGACGTCCTCCAAAGCTACACGTTATTTTTGAACTACCCCCACCTTAATAGTAAAAATTCAATAACATACCTGAAGATTTTCCCAACAGTCGGTCCAAGACCTCCACTTATCTCAACATAATGATTTTTCATTGCATAAGAAATGACTTTATGTGGATCGATATTATCAGGCACCTTAATTGATACAACTGAAGGACATCTTAGCATTTCATCATCGATAAATATTTCCAATCCATTTGATACAAGCAAATTGCAAAAATTGCTGGTAACTCGAGAATGATTTTCCCATGACGATTCTAATCCACCTCGTTCAAGAAATAATGCAATAGCCTCACGTAATCCGTATAGTAATGTTGAGCATACAGTATGATGATAAATCCTTGGATGATTTGCAAAACAATTCCAGTATTCGCCAAGTAATATTGCATCGTAATTATAGCTTGTTACCAGTGTCTTTCTTGCTGCAATTCTATCACTGAAAGTATATTGTTTATTGATGAGGATTTGGACTTATAATAAGAGAATAAGGCTGTTGAAATTTTTGAGATAAGTTCTTTTTGTATTTTAGGTTAGTTCAGGTTGGGATGTTTATGGAAAATGCATATGATTTGGTTAAAAAAGTTAAGCCTGCTCGATTAACGCTTCTATCACTCGTCTGTGCTTTAAACCAGACTAGGATGTACTTAAAATTTATACGATCCCTAATATAGCCTTAGGGGCCATTTACTTATTACGTAACGCTTTTAGGGGGGAGGGGGGTCTAAGATTTTGTTACGGTTCAAACAAGGAAATTTTTTTTTCATACAAATTTTGTTACGAGGGGGGGGGGGGGGTCTAAAAAGTCATTTTTTCGCGTTACGTAATAAGTGAACAGCCCCTTATTTATATAATGATGTTTTCAACTAAGACTACTACACTAAAAAGCTGCACCTTCACAAACCCCTCCCTTAAAAAAAAATCAATCAATTAAACTCACAGCGCTCGTGGACTAAATGTAATTGGAGTGATTCCCGGCGGTGCATTGAGAACTTTTTGTGTTCCGCTGTAAGCGACATCAATTTTAAATTTATCAACATAGATTGGCGCGCAGCCAAGCGTGATGACACAATCGACAATAAAGAGACAATCATATTCTCGACATAAATCACCAAACTCCAATAGATTTTGGAGCATGCCTGTCGATGATTCACCATGTGCCAAAAAAAAGACTTTTGGATGATACATACGGAAGCAGTTGCGGGCTTCTTTAATAGAGACTTGTTCGCCTGGATGCTTGTAAAGAACTTTAACGTCTGCATTTAATTTTTTCGACATCAGTTCCGCTCTTTGACCCCAGATTCCACAGCATGTAATTAAAATTGTGTCACCATTTTCAAGGAGATTCGTAAGAGCACATTCTAAGCCCGCATGTCCAGGTCCAGACACACAAAATGTGTGTGGATTTTCTGTTTGAAACAAGTATTGAATGCCTTCCTTTATGTCATCCATAATCTTTAATGTTTCCGTATGTAAGTGTCCGAGAACTGGCAGTGACATTGACTTTCTTATTCTATCGTGATAATTTGATGGTCCAGCGCCTGTCATCATTTTTTCGACGACCTTTAACGGAGCATTGAATACATCCGGTTTTGGTATGTCCAGAACCATTTTTGAATGAACTTTATCACACTTTAATGTTACAAACTTTTGGTACGAAAAATTAATTAAGCACCGAATGAATTTTTTATTCTGTTTACTTTGAACGCTCGAATATAAATGACAATCGCTAAGACTGTAAACACTGAAGATGAAAACGAAATATTTAAAATGATAAGAGAAAATATGAGAAACGAGCTGTATGTACAGCGTATAGTCCACACATTCGTGTTATCACCTTTTTGTCTTTGTTTTCTTAATGTTAGAGATTTTAAGCGAAAAGTACCGAAATAATGGGGATTTATGAGATTTCTGTGCTTAACAATAAGCTATAGACTCAAAACAAAATTAATTCCTTTGTGATTTTATGTTAATGAGAGGATTTTCTGCATATCTGCAAGAATTTTGAGCAATACACCCTTAACCTTAACCCTGCTGAGCTTAAAAGTTGCCCCCTTAAACGACCTTTTTTTGTAAATTCAAAAGTCGTGCAAATCTAACGACTATTGTGCTTAAAATTTGAAGACAATTATACATGTGATATTAATGATGCACAATCAAAAGTCATTAGTTAAACACGGTTGCTCAATTACTCTCATAAGACTGTGTATTATGAAGCAAAAAAAAAATCAGAAGTTGTGCACTGCCCACGATTCTTGATAACCGGTGAAGCATTCTTGTTAATATTTTTAAAATCATTTGCGCAAATTACGATAACTTTAAAAATATCAAGGTTAAGCATTCAATATTCATTCTTATTATCATAGCATAACGAAAAGCAGATTCTCCCGGAAATATTTTGAATAATAATCTAAAAGATTGTCAATAAAAACTGCAGCCACACGTCTCTTGAACTTAATACAACGAAATTTAATCTTTCTTGGGGTTATTCTTTAGTGATGTCCATCCATTGGCTAGGAACTTGTTTAGCCTTAAGTTAGATATCATGCTTATTGATTATATTGCCATTTATGTTTACATTGAGGTACAATTCATCAAGCAGAGACTGTCCTTTTGATAATCCAGGATGTTGTATCCTTTTGAAGACATCTTCCCCAGATATGTTTGACAAATCAAAAAAAAATAAACCTGAAAGCTACTCAATAATTCCATTATTTAAAAAACATCACTTTCGTGCAATCCCTAACATCTTATTTCTTATTATGGTGCTTTTAACTTTATATGATGAAAACGAAAGTAAACAAGTTGTTGATCGGGCCTCCACGAGAGACAAATAGCGAAAAGAAACGTGCTGAAATAAATACACAAAAATTATCAACAAAAATATTCTCAACGTCATCCACATGAGATAATAGCAACAGTAACAAATGGAAGGCTTTATTTTGACTATATTGAGACAAATCGATAGCCGTCAACAGTCTTTAAAATTATTCCATCATTATTGAGTCGATAAAGGATGTCTTCAAAATCCTTAAGTCCAATTTCAGCACCAAAAGCCTTCAATTCAGTTCTTGTAAATTCATTTCGATCTTCTTCCTCAGATTTGTTTGATATAAAGTCGATAAATGCCTTCATTTGCTTCGGCTTACTCAATGCTGAAACATTTTCAGGCTTTTTAATTCTCTTAATCACTCCAAAGTTGACTGAATCATTTAGATTCGCATTAGCCTTTACATTCAGATCCTTTACTACAGCTTCTCGTTCATAAATGTCGATTTGTGTGTACTTAAATAACTCAATTATTTCATGTGCATGCTCAACAGTTGCTACCTTTAACATTTCAGCACGTGCACGTGCTAAAGTAAGTCGAACGACAGATTCAATTGTTCTTGCTGGTCCTTGTGCATTCACTTGTTCATTTCCTCTAATAATGTCTGTATATTCAACGAAGAAATCTCTAATTAACTGACATGCTTCCGGTGATAGTTTTGGATGGAAATTTTGTTGAGTAAATTCAATGTACGATTTGAGTGCTGCAAGTGGAATTGTCTGAATATTTCCATCATGTGCCTTTGTTAACCAATGACTTGATTGTGATTCTTCAGAATTCTTAAAGAATTCGCACTCAACATTCATTGATTTATCACGAGTATCCATAAAATAAGGCAAGTCATTGTGAGTCACATCCATATTATCCACAAATGGAACAATTAGATCAAATCGTGAAATAAGTTGTGGTAAAAAATTGACATTGTGAATCATTGGCTTATTTTCGTCATAAACATTATCGACAGGATTTGCTGCTGCAATTATTGAGCATCTAGCTGGCATTGTTGAAACAGCACCACATTTTGTAAGGCTTACAGTTTGCTGTTCCATTGGTTCAAGAAGGATTCCATAAATATTTTTCATCTTGTCTATTTCGTCAATACAGCACACGCCATTGTCTGATAATATCAATGCACCAGCCTCAATTGTTCCCATAGTTGAGACACTTGCAGTCATTCCTGCTTGAGTTGCAATTACTCCACTTACTAGCATTCCTCTCGGTGCCGCAGATGCAGCAGCAATCATTAATGTAGATTTAGCAGTTCCTGGATTTCCAAGAAGTAAAATGTGTGAATTTGATCGACGTGCTTTAATCAAGTTAAATCCAGAAAATAAGGCAAGGAGTAAAGCAGCTTTAGCTTCTTCTCGTCCATACACAATTGGACATAAGGAATCTATTAGAATTTTAAATAAATTTGGATCACCTTTGAGGATTGGGACAATGTCTGGCATTTTCTTTTTCTCAACACTCTGATATATTGCTGCTCCAGGTCCAGTCTGATTAAATACACTAAATGTCTCGACGAAAGGCACATAACTATTACCATCATGTTTTGACGTCTTATCAGCTCGATACTTTAAAACTCCAGTCAGTACTATCTCAGATCCTACATATACTGTATCAACTTGTTCCTCATTTAATTGCACTTCTAATGATCGATTCCTTTCGTCTGTTTCGTAGCAGATTTCTTGAACTAAGACTGTTTGTGTCGGTGCCACAATAGTAAACTGTGATGAAATTAATGGATTGAAATTTCCTTTAGCTCTACATCCTGCAATACATTTGCTGGGTCTGGTTAATGTTTTAATGAGTGGATTCTGACGGACGAAGAGTTCTGCTGAACATAGCTTGCATTTATAGGACATGAATCTATAGACAATCTTTATTGGTTCTACTTTCTTAACAACACCGACTGTGCTGACAAGAGTATTTTTAGTGTTGAAGATATCAATTATATCCGTTAATGGTCGCCAGCCAACTGGTCTATAAAAGATTAATGGATGTATTAAGATCAATTCATAACTGGATGTTAAATCAATTTTCACCTGATAAACATCTTCTTCAATTGATAGTTAATGAGCTTTTGTTTCAATTCCTCAAAGAGCAGAGTATGTAAAGCTAGGCCGATTAATGAGAATGAGTCATAAGGATCGTTTGTTAAGTCTTCGTACCATTCAGGCCATTCGTTCTCAAAATCTTCATCTTCCACAAAGTTTTCAACTTTCAAATCTAACGAATAAGTAGTCAACACTTTATCCATGTCATACCAATGCTTGAATCTCTTGAAATGATTCATTACTGCCTGTGTCTTGACACTTATCTTAACTGACTGTGAAAATTCTGAAATAATAGATCAATTAAAAGTTTTCTCCAGTGGATCATGCCAATTACATACTCTTATCTGGAAAGTACAATTTCCATGCATTATATGGACATCCCATCTCAACATCAGCCGTAAATACATCAGCATATTCTCGTTCCTTTTCATCGTCTGAATCTCGTTGATTCATTCCACTTGTTCCTGCCATTGGTCTTGCTTTTGCATTACCTCGAAACTTGGCAAATCGATTGTAGTTTGATTTAAAGCCTCCATTTGCTGTACGCTTCATCGTAACACTTAAATTAATTAAATTTTGTGAATTTTTATTATTTCGCGGTTTGTGTTTATGAAAGTTTTGAAAATTTACGTTAATGACTTTGGATTTGATTGTTATTATGATTAATTTGACGATGATTTGCAGCGGTTGAAATTTCAATTGATAGATACTGATGTAATTATATAGCTTACAAATAGAACAACTCAATGCTTTTATTATTTAAACTGGAATTTAAGGAAATTAAATTCAACTTTCTCTTGGAACTGTTGTGAGTGAATTCAAACTTTATTCGACCGGTGAGAAGTTTTATGGATGTTAAGATGTGATGATTGAAGATGTGATCTTCAAAGCATTACTTGAATCAGTTGGTTATTGTATAAACTACAAATCACTTACAAAAACCAAAATTATGTTAAATTTTGTATACTGAAACTTTATTTTCATGCATTTTATACAGTTTGGCAGTCATTGGCCTAGACTTAAAGATTTATTTCGGTTACAAAAAGAAGTGGTTGTGATCATAATTATCATTAAAAAATTATCTATACATTGTTTAACAATTAATTCGATTAAGAAAGTCACAATTTGGTAGAACTTCCTTAATCCATTCCGGTTCAATTCGTGTGACTGTCCTCAAATAAGTATTGGATGTCTGGACAATTTCATTGAATATTACATAGCTTGGCTTAGACTGATTGTGATCATTCTTCATTTTTGGACTTACTGGAATTATTCCATTGCCATTTGAAGTACTTCGTCCATTAAGGTTCGCATGGAATCCAGAAAGTACACTCGAAGGATGTATCTGAGCTCGTTGTTGACTCGCAAGCACTTTGTAGTTGTTATCTCTCGCTTGATATTCAGCAATGTTGCTGTAAAGTCCTCGTATGATGCATTTTCGGAACTAAAATGGAATTAAATTCTGTTAAAACACATCCATTAATGAGTAAGAGTTGGAACTTACTTTATCTAAATCAAAATTTTCAGTTTTCGTCATTATTTTTAGTTGTGTGCATATATCAGATAGTTGCTTCCGCACTTCAGCAGCATATGCCAAGTTCCTATAACTTAGGAAAAATTCTTGACACCACTAAAAAGAATATGATAATTTAAATGTTTTATGGAACTAATTAGAACATTTAAGAATGGTTTATAAATAATGATAAGCGATTAATAATCTCCTGCTATTTCTTACCTTCTTTTTATCATTCGCATTCCTGTATTGTGAGTATATCTTTAGTAACGTAAAATGATCGCCATAAGACATATGAAATTTATTATGCTGTGCATAAGCTACATCCCTATTATTTTGATTAGGCTCGAGGTAGATATTATCAGTTGACAGCATAGCTATTAGGTCTAAAATTTCATTAATACAGCCGTATTCAGGCGCAGATATGATGATTCTACTGAAAATTGGATCTAATGGAAATAAAGCCATACTCCGTCCATCATCTGTCAATTGAGGACTTTGCGTTGTTTTAATTGCTGATAATTGCTTTAGTTGCTTAAATGCGACTGTAATTGCCTCTTTTGAAGGCTTATCCATTAAGTCAAAGTTCTCAATATTCACACCAATGGCTAATAGCTGCAAAATCGTTGCTGACAAGTTACAACGAAGAATTTCAGGTTTCGTCATTTTTTCCAGCAATTCCAATTCATTTTTCGTGTATGTTCGATAACAAGCACCTTCTGATTCTCTTCCAGCACGGCCACTTCTTTGCCATGCTTGAGCTTGTGAAATTTTTGTCACTTTAAGTGTTTCAAGACCCGTTGATGCTTCATAATTCTTCATTTTTACTACTCCAGTGTCTATAACGTATTTAATGCCTGGCAACGTGATTGATGTCTCTGCTATATTAGTGGCTACGACTACTCGCCTTGTATTCTCTGCGGATCTTGTAAATGCATCCATTTGCTTGTTTTGTTGTAATGATGAGTGAAGTGGAAAGGCACGAAGTTGAACTGTTCCTTGCAATTCCGGTGATTTTGTAATTGTTCTAATTTGATGAATCATTGATTCAATTTCGTCCTTGCCAGTTAGGAATATAAGAACATCCTCTTGTGGTGGTGCATTTAGATGAATTTCAAAGAGTGTCGCAATAGCTGCAAACATATAATCATCCTGTTTCTGTTTCGTGTGATGAATTGTTACGGGAAAGGTTCGTCCAGGCAAGTAAAGAACTGGACAATTATCAAAATATTTTGAGAAATGATCAACATCCATTGTTGCAGACATAATTATAAGTTTAAGCTCGGTCATATTGTTTTCCTTCCTAGCTTTTTGAACATTTTTTACAACACCAAACAGTACGTCTGTATTGACTGTACGTTCGTGTGCTTCGTCGAGGATTATTACTTGATATTGTTTGAGGTATTTGTCTGTGATTGCTTCACGCAGTAAAATACCTTCTGTCATATACTTAATTTTTGTATCTCTTGAGACTACACTTTCGAATCGAATGGCATACCTAAAATGTATGGAATTTAAATTGGTTCCTTTTGATTCACTGGATCTTCTTAACTCACCCAACTAATTCGCCAATATTTCGACCTCTTTCCTTTGCAACTCTTAGTGCTAAAGTTATAGCAGCAACTCGTCTTGGTTGAGTTATTGCTACCATCCCTCGATGCAAAATTCCACTTTCGTAAATATATTGTGGAATTTGCGTTGATTTTCCAGAACCTGTTTCTCCTATTAAAATTAGAGTTGAATTCTGATGGATACAGTTGATTATGCTAAATGTAAATTCTTCATTATTATCTTTTATTATTCTTCAATCAATTGATCACTTACTGTTGTCTGTAGTTATAAGATGGAAGTGACTTCCTTTGCTCTTCTAGTTGTACTGTTCTATTCATTGTTATTCCTTATTATTCTAAAATAGTACAAAAATCATTAATATTTTTAAACTTTAGTAAGGGATTAATAAAGCATGTATACTTACTTGACAATTTAATGCTTGATCACACAGATATTTGCACAAAATCCATCGAAATTTAATTAATCTAATTTTTTACGCAGAATAATGTGGCAGGAAAGAATGTTTACAAGCGGATAATTGAAGAAATCAGGGATTCTTAACTACTTTCATCAACCGCATTTAAATTTCAAAAAACCGTTACGAACTTACGTAAAGTTATTTACGTAAAAATAAAACGTAGCTTTAGCATTCAACAAGTTTCTTTTTATCCCACACATTTTTCCAACAAAACGAGCGATTTTTCGCATTCTTTTCAACTCATTAAAGAAAACATAATGCATTAATCTAGGTTTATGAGCGCTATAAATGATAGAAATGCTTTAAATGGTTGTTAAATGTTTTAACACCATAAAGTCATTAATTTGATTATTACAATACTCAATACACATAAATTGAATTAGCTATTAAGAATGCATTTTAATGTAATGTTCAGAATTGTTTACTGGATGTTTCTCAAACTGTCATAATAGATCACTTTTTATCTATAAACTTGAATATATTCAAGGTAACTTGTTGATTATTGATAAGGTATCAGGGAAGAAGCTCATTTAATTTAAGGAATCATTTGCTTATGATGTACATCATTTGATGAGGCATGAGAATTTGCAAAACAAGATGTAAATTTTGTGACAAAAAAAAGTAGGGGGGGGGGGGGGGTGTGGTTTGTAAAATTCAATTTTTTATGGTATCTATTCACTTATGATATCTAGGGATATGCACAAGCTAGAAAGGAGGACGAGGAACAGATTTAAATTCGCCTTAACAATATATTTCTGACAGAGGCTGGAAGTCTCATCAAGTCATTTAAACTAGATTTGTTTGTTTTCGAGATGAGTATGAACCGAAACCCTATTTATCAGAGATCGAAGCCGATTTTTTCGGCTTAACTGAATTTTTGATTTTTTTGATAGAAAAAAGCCATTTGACACCCATTTCAAGTATTTAAATTGAACTTTACATGCTTTACTATGATTCTGTGTAATATTTTGTCAGCATGTAGCTATAGGAAGCTCAGAATTTCAAGTTAAAGAATGTTAAGCCGAAATTTAAGCCGATCGGTTTAAAATCGGCTAAATTGAAATTCTGAGCTCACTATAGCTACATGCTGACAAAATATTACACAGAATCATAGTAAAGCATGTAAAGTTTAATTTAAATACTTGAAATGGGTGTCAAATGGCTTTTTTCTATCAAAAAAATCAAAAATTCAGTTAAGCCGAAAAAATCGGCTTCGATCTCTGCTATTTATCAACATCCATTATTTGCGTACGAACCGGTTCAAATCCTATCAAATTAATAATTGCAGCTCTATAAAGAGAAAAGACGCATCAGATCGCCATCCAGTGAATATTTCCTGCTAATTTCCTATGTTTATGTACTTAGGAATAAAAAATCAAACAATCAATTAAGCTCGTGCAGCATGATGAGAATGTACGAAAATATCAAAGTGTGTGAAAAGGCGAATTAATGACCACACAAATGAAGAGTGTAAAAAAACTCAGCACGCTCAAATTTAATCGCAATGCGATGAGAAAATTATTTTGTAACTTAGTTCAATGCGGTTCGTCAAGGCGATTGGAAGTGAAATGAAAAAAGTCCTGTAATTTAATTGGCTAGAAAAGAATAAAATTAGGGAAAAGTGCATCAGTTGTCTTCCAGCCTTTGAACTGTTAACATCCAGTAAAAATGTTCAAAGAACTAATTTTGTTGCTGTCATTAATCGTCCATAACTCAAATGCACAGCTTAAAAAGTGCTGTCCAATTGGTGAAACAGTTCAGATTAGGTCCTTTATGGACAATGATTTATCCTCACATCCAATTTATCGGTGCGTGAAAAGTTTTAGTAGTGATATAATAAATAACAGCACAGATGATTACGACGAAGAATCTTTATTAGAACCAAAAATTAATACGAATTCACAGGAACGTGAATTTATTGCCTTTAATACACTTGCTGATAATCATTCACATTGGCCATCATGTAGAGCGGCTGTGCTGTCAAAAAATAAACTTAATGAGCCGATGAAAGTTAGTGCTGGCGCAAGCTGTGTTGATTTACTGGATAATTCCTATTATGTTTTTACATGTGATGAAAATATTGAAATGACAAGAGACAGACTGGACGTTTATAAGCTCAGAAAGTGCTGTCCATATGATATGTCTTATGATATATTCACAAGAATGTGTGTAGTAAATAATTCTAGTGACCTTAATGAAAATTTTCGTGACATTCTTTTTGAGCGAGTCGTTCTCTTTGAGCATGATAAGATAAAATGTGATGAGGGTGACGTACTTGTTGAATATCATTCGAATGTACATGATTTGAAAATGTTTGAGGGTTCTCTTGTGATAACAAATTATGAAGGCTATGGACCTGAAGTGTTTAATAGGAAATATTATTGCATTGAAAGTACATTAAATTCTGAGATTGAGCAGCCGTCTGCCATGACTAGTCAGCATTTTGAAAAGAGAGCTTCATCAAAATGGATCGCAAAAGTTTGCAGGAATAAAGAAGTTTGTAAAGAAATTCCTTGTGTTAAAAAGTGCTGCAAACTTGGCGAACGAATGGTTTTCACTAATTCATCCTCATTATGTGAGGAACATGAGCAAGGGATTGATGTTCAATTCTATTCCTTCTCAATGCATCAGAATCAACTGACGATGGATCAAATGGAACCGAGAGGTAGGCTTGATTATAACCTAGTCTTGATATGCACCTTCATGGGTGGATTTTATCCCTCCTGCTTTAAATTTGCATAATTCATGCGTACGAAATAACAATAAATTCCTCACGAAATATATATGTTGTGGAAGTTGACTCGAGGGTATTTATATCTACGGTATTGACATTTTCAAAATATATAGCACATAAACCTCGCAACATAATCATTCCAATTTCAATCCATTGAACAGAAACGGAACTTCAAATGTGGAAAAATATTTTTCTTCCGCTTTTTTTTCATATTAAATGTTTATTGAGATTGTACACCTGGATTCTGGATGCAAACTTTATTTTCTTTTTGAATGACTTTGTAAAGGCTCTTTTATTAGACGATTGTAAAGCTAATGATAAATGATTTTAAGCTTTCTTAGGGGCCGTTCACTTATTACGTTTGCATTTTGGGGGGGGGGGGGGGGTTGAAAAATTGTAACAAAATGTAATATAGGGGGGGGGGGGGGTCTGTCTTTAAAAAAAAAGTTCACGAAGAAAATTTGTTTACAAATTCACAGCAAAAACATTTTTTTAAATTTTCCAATTATGAACATTCAGGGGGGGGGGGGGGTTGTGAGTTGTAACATATTGCAAAAAAAGGGGGGAGGGGGAGTGAAAAAAAAGTCGTTTTTTTGCGTAACGTAATAAGTGAATGGCCCCTTCAATCATATCATATATATAATATGGCTGTTGAGAATTTATTGAGGATATTGGGCAGAGATCAAAGCCGATTTTTTCGGCTTAACTCAATTTTTGATTTTATGATAGAAAAAAGCCATTTGACACCCATTTCAAGTATTTAAATTGAACTTTACATGCTTTACTATGATTCTGTGTAATATTTTGTCAGCATGTAGCTATAGGAAGCTCAGAATTTCAAATTAGCCGATTTTAAGCCGATCGGTTTAAATTTCGGCTTAACATTCTTTAACTTGAAATTCTGAGCTTCCTATAGCTACATGCTGACAAAATATTACACAGAATCATAGTAAAGCATGTAAAGTTCAATTTAAATACTTGAAATGGGTGTTAAATGGCTTTTTTCTATCAAAAAAATCAAAAATTGAGTTAAGCCGAAAAAATCGGCTTCGATCTCTGATATTGGGGCAAATATGATGGAAACATACTTAACACCAAGCGACATCAACTTGGTTACCGTTTTAAAGCTTTTCTTAATCATTTGAATTTTCGTTCTTAATATAGTATCATGTTGGCTACTGTGTAGACAATATTTTAAAATATGCTGGTCGAAAGACGAGCTTGAATAAAAATAATCCCCAACTGAGTGATTCCAGATCATCCTCACGGAAGCAAGTTCTATTTTCCATCAATTCTGACTTGTCTGACTCAAGTTTTCATATCCATCAATCTGTATACATCCACGTCTATCAAATTAGATGTTGCATTGGATTTTTCTTTTCTTGAACATGCTCAAAGCATCCATGATTCAGTGCACTTATAAATTAATAGTTAGACAATCATTAAAGAGTAGGTGGGAATCGTCAGAACAGCATGTTTACATTTTTCTCCATTGTGAAGCAAGAGAGGATTAACAAGCTTTAAAATAGAACATATGACCATTACACATCTTCGTTACTAATAGTACGCTTCACACTCACTTCAACCACAATCTTTTGTGTTTCTCTTGCTCACATTTTTCTTCTCAAACTCACTTTTTTTTGTGTGAAATAAACAAACTCTTTCAGTGATTCGTAACTGGATACTTACGTATACTTATTTACAATAATATATCGTATTTTCACTGTAAAGTGAGAAAAATTGTGTTTGCTATTACTGTGAAGTTTATTTTTGAAGTCAACTCGCAAATATGCCATAGATTCTAATGACTGCTGTCATTTTATGGCTGCTTCACACATGTTAAGCATAAAAATGCCCTTTTGTTGATTTGGATATTCTGGAAAATTGAATTTTAAATAGTATTTGATAAGACCTGTGACTAAATGTCTAGGGCTTTCAAAATATCTGTTTGGGGATGTTTAATTGAAGTATTTACAAACATTTTATTGATTTACATCATATTTGTAATAATTGTGTCTGATAAGGTATGACGCATTTCAAAACAGGCAATTCCCGTAACTTCATGACTAACTTCAAAGCATCCTACGATTTTAAAAACCCCTAGAAAAATCAAACATTCTTTCTTCTTGAAAAAAAAAATTGCAGAATAAGTGATTTCTGGCGATAAGAAACAGATACATATAAATTTAATATGCATACACAATGAAATTCCATTCATGTGATCTTAAATGAGAAACGAACGAGTAAGACCCAAACAGCACACATACAATATTTACCAGAAAATGGGATAGAAAGGTGATTTTCAACAATATGTAGCTCACAAAAGTGTCAAGCTTAACGTTTTTTCAATACAGCTATTTACTTCTGTTGACAGTTTCAGATAAGAGCACATTCTTTATTTCCTTCTGCTTTTTTTCCACAGAATACGGTATCTTGATGCCCCGGTATTGTGAAAAATTTAAATTGGAACCTGATGAGCTACACTACATATCCGGGATCGATGGAAGTCTTTATTATGATTATGAGAAGAAGTTTTATCCCAACGAGGAATTTTGTGTTGATTACTTTTATGATCAGAGCTTGGATGAGACTGAGGATAATTTGGTTGTAAGTATGTCATGAGTAGCTTTTCTGTAAATCTTTTTGATGCTGTAATGTAAGCTATGGCATATTTCGGGAGGTGTTTTGAGATTTTAGGGATGAAAAATAGTTTAAACTCTTAATTGAATTTGAACTTTTCTTAAATATTAGACTTGATCCCAAGCAGTACATCAAGATTATGGCTGCCATAAAACTGCTTAGTGGCAATTTATTTCGCTGCGCTAAGTCCTATGTTTTTATCGTCACATAGTTGCTACTTTGATTGCCATTAAGTATAGTTCCAAGTTGAATGTTGATGTTGCTAGCTAAATTCGCAATTCCTTTACTGAATTGTTTCCGTCGAAAAAGCTTTAAAAACTCTCGTACCTTATCAACATATTCTAAGAAGAAACCAAAGTTGACGCTGGGTATGCCTAGCTCCTTGAGATGTCATAATAATTCTTAATTTATTGACTTGTTTAACTTGACTTTCCTTAAAATTTTTAATTACTATTTTCTTTTCTAGATGACATCATTTGTGTGCTTCGACGATGAGGAACAAAATCGTCAGACAATTAAGTTTCATATTTACGCGACCCTTTTAGCGATTTCTGCTTTGTTTTTGGGTATCACGTTTCTCGTTTACATATTTTTGCCTAAGCTTTTAAATTTGCATGGCAAGACTGTTGTTTGTCATGTGTTAAGCCTCTTCATTGGATATGCTTTTCTATCAGGCGTTCAATTTTCGACGACAGTAAAATATGAAAATTGTGTACTGATTGGTAAATCAATATTTTTTTTTTCTGACTTAAATGAATGGCATCTGAAGAGGGAAAATAGCTGTAATCAAAATGTGTAGCTAGACTTGAAAGAAAACAATTCTGGATTTAACTTTTGAGAGTGACAAATTATTTTAAATTCACCCAAGGTTTTTGGAGCTTTTGTGATTAAAATTAGATTTCTTCGTTAGTTTTTGTCAAGCTGCTTCAAGTATTAAGGTGATTTCGAATTTAGCATAAATGAATTTTTATTACTTCTTTATCGTCTGGATTGATTAATTTTTATCAATACTCACCAGACAACCTCTTAAGATATCAGTTCAATTAGCACTAGACCAACAAGAATGTAATGTCTAGGAATTTATTAAGTCTATTCTCTGTCTAGTCAAAAAGAGATTTTAATTTATGGTTTAAGATTAAATTTATAGTTCATAAATCAGTAGTGGAAGGGAGATGTTCAGCCAAATTCTAGTCCGTGCTAATGTCTCCAGAACCACGAGGAATTTATCTCTGTGACTGAAGGGGGAACCCAAAGATTAGACTTCAGTAGACATTCAGTGATTTAGATTTTGTTCCGAACAGACTTGTACTGTCGATTTGATAAGGATTTACACAATCCACAGCGCATTACAAACCTTAAGCTGCCTTCCCTCTTCATTAAAGCTGCAATGAAAAAACATACTTTACAAAATAAAACTTCCTTTTTTCTTCCTTCATTACTGCAGCATTCATTATTTATTTTGGACTCTTATCAGGTACGTTTCTCATTTCAACCTTCATATTCCGTGTATTATTTCATTTTGATTCAAAGAAAATAAGGAACAATTTTCATTTCAAGATGATCCCAATCAGATTAAAGTGCTGGAAAATTTATTATCTCGAAATGAAAGTTAATGGTCCTTTAAAAAGAGAGCAATAAATTTTCGAATGAATGACTTGTTCCTTCATCTCTGTTTTTTTCTTTATTTTTCATTTCTTCTCACTTCCGTGGACATCTATCACCTTAAATGCTCAAATAACAACGGCGTTTAAAACAACAAACGTGCTGGACTATCCACAGCGTTCTCATGGTTAAATATTATGTGCCTTGACATCTACTGGACATTTGGGTAAGTGCTTTTTAATAAATATTGACATCCATTGACATCAATCCAGCTCATTTCACAACAACGGTCCTTTTTTTCGGCTATGATCGCCTTCCGCAAATTTTCTTTCCCATTTCTCCGACTGACTTTCATGAATTTCAAATAATGATTAATTTAAGTGAGGGAAAGGCCAGCGAGGCATCATATTTTGCTTCTTTCGGCATTTCCTATTTCCATGTCATATTTGGCTGGGATTTATTATAATTAATTGAAATGCTAATCGGTATCATTTTATTGTCATCGTTGTTCCTACATTTCCATTCAAATGAGACCTTTATGAAAATGTTAATTAACATTCAAGGGAGATAAGGAATATGTGCATATAAAAATTAGACTTGTATGCTCAATGATAACAGCCTTCGATACTGACTTAATCTATACATTATGATTTTTTGCTAATTTCAATAATTGAATTGTTATTCATAATCAAGAGTTGATCGTAAGTGACGTCTATGGAATAATTCAAATTTTTCTTTTATTCCGCATAATTCTTCCAGATTCTAAACGATGTACTCCATATCTAAATCACCCCAAAACTGAATCACGTCAGTAAATATCGGGAACTCTTTTTTGGTATTTGATAATCACATTAATATTTGGAAGTTACCCGAACTTGATTTTATTATAAAAATTTTTGTTTACTTTTCGTTCTGCTTCTTGACAGGAATTTGCATAAAACATATGTTTACTTATTTGCTCAGCTTTATGGCGGTTCTTAATTAAACACAAATTGCTGAAATTGATAAAATAAAAAATCTCAATTAAAATGTGCTTGTAAAAATTTTTCATAATTTTTATGATGCTTTTGAAAGTAAATATTTGAGGGATGTATACGTTTACTGCCATATAGACAGCATTCAATATGATAATTAAGAAATTAGCTTTCAGACGGGGAATCGAATGCACCTGAGTTTTTTGATATAGTCAGTTCCAGTCAGTCGAGAACGTCTCCTTACTCTCTCATTGCTAAACATTACACTATCCAAGTATTAATAGCAATAAAAATTGAGCATAGTAAAATACAAAATGCAAGGCCTAACTTGAGTCCTAAAACGGCAATGAAATCAATTTTAGTAATTCAAAAAAAAAAATTTATAAACAATTTCTCAAATACAATTTGTTTTATTCATGCACAAGTTTAAATTGTCTGAATTAATTCAAGATTCTTTTGTGTATCTTCGAATCGGGTAGAATAACAGACCACTCAAATAAATTAGAAAATTTTATTGAAAGCAGCAATTTGTAAGAGTCGTAAATCTTGTCTTAAGTTAGCGAATTGATATCGTAAAGTCTATTAATAATCCATCGACAGTTGTGTAGATATGAAGCCATGAATGGAATGCTTTTACAATTCAAAAAGAATTAATGAATTGATAAGTTTGTTATCACGGTCATTATCTGTTTTGTAAAGGAAATCCTGATAAAAGAGTCAACAAAAAATATGATCCATATTGATAATTTGAAGGCTTTAAGTATAGCTCATTAATCATTGAATCTTTTGCGTAAGCGGATTACATAGCTTATCTGGATTAATTTTAGATGAATGTATTTAATATTGGAAGTGCAAAAAGTTGGGTTTTTGTTTGCTGAACGAGTTTGGTTTGGGAGAATTATAAGGGGAAAGAACTAGTAAATACATGCATGTATGTACATGAAAGGTTGGAATTAAAATTCTTAATTCTCATACATAAGAACAGCTTTCTAGAGCTCCCATGTGAAACCTTAGTATAGGTTAAGTCTCAATAAAATTTAATTCATACTACAGAGTTAAGTGGGCAAGATCAGAAAAAAAGGGAAAAAAACTTTATATGCTGATTTCTCTGCTTGCGAGCATCCAATTTTAATGATTTTTTCACAGGTCGATAGTTAATTTCAAAAAGTTTAACTTTTTGTTTTATTTTTTAAAATGGCGACTTTATAAGTTACTTTAATTAACAAATTAATATTTAAAGTAGAGTTTTTCATATGAAGGAAGCAAGTTGGTTGTTCAAGATCTTCACAAAAGTTGTAGATTTTGATATTTTCTATGAAAACATCGTATTGTGACTTCAAAAAACTGAATAGATTAAGTTAATTTAACTAAAACTCAATTTGTTGAATAAATCGCTTTTTAACCGAAAATATTAACTCTAATTGACTGAAAACAATTAATAAGTAGCTAAAAAGTCATTTTCTATAGAAATTGTATCTGTAAAAGGCATTAAAATGAGTTAAATTAACTCAAAAACATTGCAATTTTAATTGAGCAACATGTTTTGCTCAATTTCGCTCAGAATTTCATAAGAATTTTGAATTTATTAAAACTGTTACAATTTTCTTGGTTAATCTTTTTAACATTTTATGATTTTAAAGGCTTTCCATAAATACTTTAATTTTTTTTTCTTTTGCAACAAGATGCATCTTATGTTTTGCTATAGTTTTACATTGAAAAATCATTAGAACAATAAAACAGCAAAAAGTTATATCTAGTTTTCTAAAATTCATTGTAACTTTAGCCATATACATATCTTAAAGTATCAGCGGCAAATGAAAAGGTATACTCTAAAAAAAGTTGTATACAGCATGTCGTTAAATATCTTCCTTTCTACGCATCGAAACCAGAAAAGTATTATTTTCCTCAAAATTTTGTTTGCCATCATTTGCTAATGACCCCAAAAACTAGTTGACTTTATTTATTCTAGGGTTAAAATTAATAGATGAGATTTTTGGTGCTGTCAACAAAATCATTGCGTAGCCAAAAATGTACATCCTTTATCTTAATTAATTGGACCGTTAAATATAGCAACCGACAACAGCTTATAAACCTTTTCAGCACCAAAAAACCCTTAATAAACAATTTTCCTTTCAATAAATGATTCCTTACATGATATTAGTTGTATCATTAATCATAACATTAGTCATCTCTTAAATTGATTCCGTATTTTCGTTCATTTTGTCTTTTTCCCGCTGTCATTTAATTTTTGTTATTATTGATGTGCCAGATGTGTCATTTGTAGTCAAAAGTTATGAACGTTTCAAAAAACAAATAAGTTTTTCTTAAGGTGAATATTTATCAGAAAACAATTGCTGGTTGTGTCATAAAAATCAGCGCCTTGTCACTTTTAATTTTCTTTAACCAATTCGTAATTAATTAATACTAAACATTCAGTGATAAATAAGCAAATTGTAATGGGGACAGTATGCGCGAAAAAACCGAAGCATAATTACAAACAACTTATCAAGGACTCTGTCAAAATGAGAACAGCAGAAAGCGTATAATTACTGATGTAACAGCTGTTTCCATTAACACTCACCCAAAATGATACAACTGATAATTTTTTTTCTATCTTCTTGTTGATTTCTCAAATAGCTATGAATTTACCGCATTGACGCAAGTTTCAATGGAATTGAGAAAAGCTACAAATTTTTCTCTTTTTTTTTCTCCGACATTTCAGATTCAACAACTTTTTCGCCGTTTATTACAAATGAAATTAAATTTCTTTTCGCTTAAAATATTTGCCTAATTTTCTTTTGTCTGGAATTACGTATGGTAAGAAGAATCGCGGAAAATTCGTTTAGACAACTCGTAAATAAATGAATTAAAAGCGTTTTTTGATTTGCTTAGTAAATTGAGTGGGTTGTAAGCTTCTTAGTAAATTGTGGAAAATATCAAGTTAGAGGTTTAATAAGTCGGTGCCTGTCAATTGAAGAATACAAAGAAAGACAATTCCTATTTCTGCATGACCTTCCAATTTTAATATCAACATTCTTAAACAATTTACTTTTCTTCCGACATGTAAGAATTGTAGTTAATAACCACATGTTCCTTTATATTTGCAGCCAGCAAATCTCCTGTAGATTCTGCTGACTTGGACACTCTGTAAATTTTATTTCAAAAACACATGCTCTTTATTTCTTAACAGTTTATTGTTTTGACACAATTCAGTAGCTAGTAACTCTTTGAATTATTAGTCTTTGTAATCTTAACAGTTTATCAAACAGGTGTACTTTTGTTTAAAAATTTTATTTTGTTTTGATAATGACATGTAGCTTCAATTTCACTCAAGATTGACAGCATGATAACGGAGATAGCGCAATGGACAGGCATAAGATAAATGTTTTAATTTTTTTTTTCTCCCAGAAGCGTGATTTTAATGATCTTTGGAAAAATCTGTAAGGAGCTTAAAATCAAAGCTAAGTACCACTCGCTTAGAGTAATTTTTAAGCGCTTTGAAGGTTCAAAAACCCTGATTGCTACCCTTTAGCTTTGAATTCGATACTATTCGCATTTCTGATGACAAAATGTCAATTTCTCAAAATACTGCCCCACACAGCAGCGTCTAAATCAATTCCATAACTGCTTTCCCTCTTGTTAAATTACTCGAACTGATTAATAAATAATGTGTTTCTCTCGTGATAGCATTTAATAGCCTTTAATGTACAGAAATGACATTAGAAAATTTTCGAAACAGTAAACATTCGAAATTATGTAAAAATATTATTATGTAGGCAGTGCCGAAAAAGAAGGAAAGGAAAAGGAAATTTGATAATGTCGGAGAATTGAATCGAAATTGTAAATTTAGATCACACGAATGAGATGAACATTAGACAAGCAGTTCCATAACAGTGATAATTTTTTATGTCATTAAACTGAAATATGATATTTATTTTCACAAGCGAAAAATGGAAGCATCAAATGCTCATTTCCCAAATAAAAATGTGTTTGTGAAATGATGGACCATTAATTACGTCAGTATCCAAACAAAGATGGCGTACAGACAATTGGGAAGCTTTCACATCATCCTGAAAAAGTGTTTTTTCTTCTTCTTATTTCATTTATCAAGTTGACACTTTAAGCTTTTCTCACTTGTAACTCAATGGGACGTGAAATTATGTCGGCTCTTGAATTGAACGAATATAATCCTAGCATTAAACAGTACTAAGTTGTTTCGGTCAATTAAAACGGATGAAGAACAAGAACATCA